TTGGATCCTGGAAGACAATGGTAGCTGAAGTGTACAGAAGCTTCCAGATTTAACAGTATTAGGTAAAAGGGTTCAGATCACCGTCCTGTTTAGCTTCAGCTTTCAACTTGACACAGCCTAGAGCCAACTGAAAGGAGAGCCGCAGTCCAAGAATCGTCTCCATCGGATCGGCCTGCACGGTGTGCATGTCTTGCCTGCTAATTTACTAAGAAAGGCTCATCCCAAGGTGAGCAGCATCAGCCCCAGGTAGGTGATCCTGAACCGTGTAAGGTAAGCGTATGTCCGCCAGTGAGTAGCATCCTCCGGGGCTCCTGTTGCTCCTCTTTGGCTATGAGACAAGCTCCTTGGCTGGAGGTGAAGCCATGTGGACACGTGGACTAGCAAGTCAGCAAGCACTTAAGTTCCAGAATTTCCAGAACTCAAACTTTGAAGTCATATGCTTCATCAAACAGCACATTTCCCAGCTGACAGTATCATCAAATAACAATTTTTAAGGATTCCTCTATTCCATTGCGTTTGTATGTGTACATGCCTGAATTCATTTATGTGCACTGGATGTTTGGGGGGGGGGCAAGGAAACAAGGGATGTCTGATCTCCTGGAACTGGAGGCATAGGATTGTGTTGTTTTGATTTGCATTTCTCTGATGGCTAAGGATGTTGAGCATTTCCATAAGTGTCTTTCGACCACTTGAGATTCGTCTGTTGAGAGCTCTCTGTTTAGGTCTGTACTTCATTTTTTTAAATTGGATTATTTGGTATTTTGGTGTCCAGTTTCCTGAGTTCTTTGTGTATTTTGGAGATCAGTCCTCTCTCAGAAGTGTAGTTGGTGAAGATCTTTTCCCATTCTGTAGGCTGCCATTTTGTCTTGTTGACTGTGTCCTTTGCTTTACAGAAACTTCTCAATTTCAAGAGGTTCCACTTATTAATTGTTGCTCTCAGTGTCTGTGCTACTGGAGTTATATTTAGGAAGTGGTCTCATATGCCAATGTGTTCAAATGTACTTCTCACTTTCTCTTCTTTAAGGTTCAGTGTGGTTGGTCTTTAATCCATTTGGACTTGAGTTTTGTGCAAATAGATATGGATCTATTTGCATTCTTATACATGTTGACATCCAGTTATACCAGCAACATTTGTTGAAGAGGCTTTTTCTTTTCCATTTTATAATTTTAGCTTCTTTGTCAAAAATCAGGTGTTCTTGTAGGTGTCTGGATTGATATCTGAGTCTTTGATTCAGTTCGATTGGCCCTCCTCTTTTTTTTTAATGCCAATAGCGAGTTGTTTTCATTATTGTATCTTTGTAGTAGAGTTTGAAGTCAGGGATGATGATGCCTCCAGAAGCTCCTTTATTGTACAGGATTGTTTTGGCTAACCTGGATTTTTTGTTTTTCCATATGAAGTCGAGTATTATTCTCTTGAGGTCTGTGAAGGATTTTACTGGGCATTGCATTGAATCTGTGTATTGCTTTTGTTAAGATTGCCATTTTTACTATGTTAATCCTACCTATTGAAGAGCATAGGGGATCTTTCCATTTTCTGATGTCTTCTTTGATTTCTTTCTTCAAAGATTTAAAGTTTTTGTTATACAGGTCATTTACTTGTTTGGTTAGAGTTGCTCCAAGAAATTTTATGTTATTTGTGACTTTTGTAAAGGGTGATGTTTCTCTGATTTCTTCTGCAGCTCATTTGTCATCTGTATATAGGAAGGCTACTGAGTTTTTTTGAGTTAATCTTACATCCTGCTACATTATTGAAGGTGCTTAATAGCTGTAGGAGCTCCCTGGTAGAATTTTTGGGGTCACTTATGTATATTATTATATCATTTGCACATAGTGAGAGTTTGACTTCTTCTTTTCCAATTTGCATCCCCTTGATCTCCTTTTGTTGTCTTATTGCTCTAACTAGAACCTCAATTACTATCTTGAATAGATATGGAGAGAGTGGACAGCTTTGTCTTGTTCCTGATTTCAGTGGGATCGCTTTGAGTTTCTCTCCTTTTAGTTTGATGTTGGCTGTCGGCTTGCTGTATATTGCCTTTATTACATTTAGGTATGTTCCTTGTATCCCTGCTCTTTCCAATACCTTTATCATGAAGGAGTATTGAATTTTGTCAATTTTTTCAGCATCTAACAAGATGTGTTTTTTTCTTTCACTTTGATTATATGGTGGATTATATTGATAGATTTTTCATATGTTGAACCATCTCTGCATCTCTGGGATAAAGCCTACTTGGTCATGGTGGATGATTTTTCTTATGTGTTCTTAGATTCAATTTGCCAATATTTTATTGAGAATTTTTGCATCAATGTTCATGAGGGAGATTGGTTTGTAATTCTCTTTCTTAGTAGTGTCTTTGTGTGGTTTGGGCATCTGAGTAGCTGTAGACTCATTACAATTAAGAGTTTGGCAAAGTCCCTTCTATTCTATTGTGTGGAGCAATTAGAAAAGTATTGGTATTAGTTCTTTAAAGTTCTTGTAGAAATCTGTGCTGAAACCATCTGGCCCTGGGTTTTTTTTTTGGGGGGGGGGAAGACTTTCCATGCCTGTTTCTATTTCTTTAATGGTTATAGGTCTATTTCATTTGCTTATCTGGTCTTGATTTAATTTTAGTATATGGTACTTATTCAGATAATTGTTCATTTCCTTCAAGTTTTCCAATTTTGTAGAGTGTAAGTTTTTGAAGTATGACCTGATGATTCTCTGGAGTTCTTCCATGTCTGTTGTTATGTGTCCCTTTCTCTTTCTGACTTTGTTAATTTGGATATTCTCACTCTACCTTTTGGTTAATTTGGATAAAGGTTTGTCTGTTTTTTTTTTTTTTTTGTCTCATTGATTCTTTATTTCTATTTTTGTTGATTTCCGCTCTCAACTTGATTATTTCCTGCTGTCTAGTCCTCCTGAGTGAGTTTGCTTCTTTTTGCTCTAGTTTTCAGGTGTTCTGTTAACTCACTAGTGTAGGATTTTTCCAGCTTCTTTATGTAGGCATTTAGTGCTATGAACTCTCCTCAACACTGCTTTCATTGCATCCTATAGCTTTGGGTATGTTGTGCAGTCATTTTCATTGAATTTTAGGAAGCCTTAATTTCTTTCTTTATTCTTCCTTGACCCAGTGGTGACTTCTTTGATTACTGTTCAGTTTCTACGTGTTTGTGGGTTTTCTGCAATTAGTGTTGTTGTTGAATTCTAACTTTAAGTCATGATGATCTAATAAGATACAAGGAGGGTATTCTAATTATTTTTTTTGTATCTGTTGAGATTTGCTGATTTGTTTTGTGACTGAGAATGTGGTCAGTTTTGGAGAAGGAGCCATGAGGTGCTGAGAAGAAGGTATACTCCTTTGTGTTTGGATGAAATGTTCTATAGATGCCTGTTACGCCATTTGAGTCAAACATCTGTTAGTTCCTTTATTTCTCTGTTAAATTTCTGTCTGGTAGACCGGTCCAGTGGAAAGAATGGGGTGTTGCAGTCTCCCACTATAAATGTGTGATTTAAGCTTTAGTAATGAATGAATTCCTATTTAGTATGAATGAGGGTGACCTTGTATTTGGGGCATAGATGTTCAGAATTAAGGCTTTGTTGTGTTGTATTTTTCCTGTGACTAATATGAAATGACCTTCTTCATCTCTTTTGATTAATTTTAGTTTGAAGTTCATTTTTTTTAGATATTAAGATAGTTACAACAGCTTGTTTCTTAGGTCCATTTGATAGGAAAATCTTTTCCCACCCCTTTACTCTGAGGTAATGTCTGTCTTTGTAGTTGGGGTGTGTTTCTTGTATGCAGCAGAAGGATGGATTCTGTTTTTGTATTCTTTCTGTTAGACTTTGTCTTTTTATAGGCATTTGAGTCCATTGATATTAAGGGATATTAATGACCAGTGTTTGCTAGTTTCTGGGTTTTGTTGTTGTTGTTCTTGGTGGTGGTAGTATTGTATGTGGTTTCTCTTCTTTTGGATTTACTTTTGTGTGGTTATCTATTTCCTGTGTTTTGTGGGTGTAGCTAAATTCCTTGGGTTGGAGTTTTCCATCTAGTACTTTCTGTAGGACTGGATTTGTGGATAGGTATTGATTTAATATGGTTTTGTTATGGAATATCTTGTTTTCTCCATCTATGTTGATTGAAAGCTTTGCTGAATATAGTAGTCTGGGCTAGCATCCATGGTCTTTTAATGTCTATATGATGCCTGTCCAGGGCCTTCTGACTTTCATTGTTCCCATTGAGAAGTTGGGTGTAATTCTGATAAGCCTGCCTTTATATGTTACTTGGACCTTTTCCTTTGCAGCTCTTAATAATCTTTCTTTATTCTGTATGTTTAGGGTTTTGATTATTATATGGCAAGGGAACTTTTTTTTGATTCACTCTATTTAGTGTTCTGTAAGCTTCTTGTATCTTCATAGGAATATCTGTCTTTAGGTTGGGAAAGTTTTCTTCTATGATTTTGTTGAATATATTTTCTGTGCCTTTGAGCTGGACTTCTCCTTCTTCAATTCCTATTATTCTTAGGTTCAATTTTTTCATAGTGTCCCAGATTTCCTAGATATTTTGTGTTAAGGATTTGTTGAATTTATTGTTTTCTTTGACGGATGTATGTATTTTCTCTATTGTATCTCAACTCCTGAGATTCTTTCTTCTGCCTCTTACATTCTATTGTTTATGTTTGCTTCTATAGTTCCTAATCATTTATGCAGATTTTTCATTTCCAGATTTCCCTTAGTTTGTGTTTTCTTTATTGCTTCTATTTCCCCCTTCAAGACCATAACAATTTGTTTTACCTGTTTGATTGCTTTTTCTTGGTTTTATTTAAGGGATTTGTTGATTTCTTCTAATTTTTTGTTTGTCTTTTTTTCCACTTCTTTAAGGGATTTTTTTTTTATTTCCTCGTTAAGGGCCTCAATTATCTTTATAAAGTTATTTCTTAAGCTTGTTTTCTTCTGGTTCATTTGTGTTAGGATGCTCGGGTCTTGCTGTTGTAGAACCACTAGTTTATTTATTTATTTATTTATTGTCCATAAAGGCTCTTTATTTATGTTTTACATCTCTAGAAAAAGAATCCCAGGATTTTCCCTCCTGTGTGCTTTCGTCTTGCCTCTTCATGGTCCATGATGCCAGCTGAGGTGGTCAGTACAATGAAGCCAAACTGACGGGACGGGAGCAGATTGTTCTGCCATTTTTCTAGGTCTTTGAGTTGCACATCAAATCTAGGGCTTATCACTCCACACTTGTTCAACCTGCCAATGAGCTTCACGACGATCTTCCCAGCTCTGTGGTCGTCAATGATTTCAAATTCACCAATGTAACCATGCTTCATCATCACGGTTAGGAACCGAACGATGACTTTGGAGCAGGGCCTGATGAGGACCTGGCATTTGCCTCTCTTCTCTGCATTGTTGATGCTTTTGAGAGCATCGGCCAGGACGTTCATGCGCACCATGGTGGCGGCGCGGGAAGATGGCCGAAAGAGCAGAACCACTAGTTTGAACTGCTCTTTGTGCTGCTCAGTGTATTCTTACCTTGCTGTTTACCCATCTCTTCCTCCAATTGGAACAGGTGGGGCCTGTGTTTCAGGAGTGTCTCTTTTCCTCCAATTGGTGTAGCTGGGGGCTGTGGCTCCCTTGAACATTCCTTCAGGTGTAAGCAGGACAGAGCCTTCTGTAATCATTCTTCCAAGTGCCTATGGACCTACAGGATGGTTGCTCCTCTTGGTTCAGGCATGGTCATTGCTTTGATGGTTGTTCCTCCATTTGCGGTCAGGGTTGAGGGTGAGGCTCTGGTGGTCAGAGACTCTCTGGAGGCCACTGCTGTTGCTGTGGACCACTGTGGTGCTGAGACTTCCTCTCCCTGCAGCCTGGTGGTCTGCCTGCCGCACTGTTGAGGCTCCATGAAATCCTCCAACTGAATGGGCTATGGGGTCTCTACAAGCCCTCAGAGTGAATGTGGTGAGCTCCTGTCTCCTCCTACCTTATATTCCTCTCTCTAGCTAGCTCTTTTAACTTAAAATTTCTGGCTTCTTTTTACCTTTTGCCTCAGGACTTATTACCTTTTCTTTCCTTCTGTATATCTTACTTTCACTGCTTCTCAGGTCTGTCTGTCTGTCTTTTGTCCGGGCTTCTTGCCCCAGGTATGTTCCTTGTTCTTTCCCCTCTTCTCTTCTTCCTCCTGAGCCCAGATTTCTACTTCTGTTTATTCTCTGTCGAGCAGCCCCACCTATCCTTCCTCTGCCTAGCTATTGGCTGTTCATCCCTTTATTAGATCAATCAGGTGCCTTAGGCAGGCAAGGTGAAACAAACGCAACAAAGCTTTACATAATCAAACAAACACAGCATAAACAAAAGTAACACACCTTTGCCTAGTTACAATAATATCCTCCTACAGGGCAGCCCTTCCCGTTCTGCTCTACTTGGACAGTTGTCAATGCTGCAACAACTCTGTCATCTTCAAAGCTCACACTCAAGAGCCCCACAACAAAGTTACTTTAAAAAAATCCTGTAGCAGGCTTTCTTTTGGCCACCAACCAGCTTCAGCTCCCAAACAAAGACATGGAGAATTGATATTAGTCATGAATGCCCAGCCTTATCTTATGCTCATTTCTACCTATCTCATAATTTAGCCTATTTTTCTTCATCCACATTTGCCTCAGGGATTTTTATCTTCTTTCACTCTGTATGTCCTATCACGTGTCTGGTTCACTGGTGGCTGCCTGTCTGTATGGCCCCGGGTGTCTCCTTCTCTTTCTCTCCTCTCCTCTCCTCTCCTCTCCTCTCCTCTCCTCTCCTCTCCTCTCCTCTCCTCTCCTCTCCTCTCCTCCCCCCTCCTCTCCTCTCCTCTCCTCTCCTCTCCTCTCCTCTCCTCCCCTCTCCTCTCCTCCCCTCTCCTCTCCTCTCCTCTCCTCTCCTCCCTTCCCTTCCCCTCTCCTCCCCTCCCCTCCCCTCTCCTTCCTTCCCCTCCCCCTCTCTCTCAGGCCTTGATTTCCCCTCCTACTTATTCTCTCAGCCTGCCAGTCCCGCCTGTCCCTATATTGCCTGGCTATAGGCTGTTAAGCTTTTTATACGACCAATTAGGTGTCTTAGGCAGACAAAACAACACATCTTTGCATCATTCAACAAATGCAGCATGAGCAAAAGTAACACACCTTTACATAGCTAAAGTAACATTCTGCAGCATAAACAAATGTAACCAGTCTTTAGACAGTGAAAGTAACATTCTATCCCATGACAACAGTCAAGCACAGCACAATGCCTCAGATGAGGATCTCGGAGGTGACACAGCTCAAAAGGAAAGGGATCCTGGCAGTCAGGAGCCAGGGAATATTGAGTTTACACCTTGGGTGGGAGCGCACTCTGGCAGTCGGGAACCAGGGAACAGCACAGGTCACAGTAAGTGTAGCATTTGCAACACTGCTCTAAAGAAGGTTTCCCCAAAGTGACAGCTCTGCTTGGGCAAACAGCTCGGCTCTGGTGCTCTGGAGTGTAGCAACCCTGCTCTGCTAGGGGGAGGTTTCCCCAGCGAAACAGGGTTATATCCCTGTTCTCCTCTGCGCCTTGTCTGCTCTGGCACAAGAAGGTCTTCGTCCAAACCTCAGTCAAGAGATTTCCTGGGAGGGAAAGAAATCTACCCTGGGGGAAAGAAGAGCGGCCTCAAACCGAACAGGACTTCTTAGGGGCAGAGTTTTCCCAGGGAGGAGAGGGATTGGCTAGTTTTTCCCTGCTCAGGGATTGGTTAGTTTAGTTGGTCATGGGCAGAGATGGTTAATCTCAGAGCCAAACTGTGTTTCTTTGATTGGCCTTTTAAAGCTTTTTGGCTCTAGTTTTGGGGCTAGGGTATGTTTCTTTCCCTGGCTCTGGTTCTAGGGACAAAATATGTTTCTTTGGCACTGGTTTAAGAGTCAGGGTGCATTTCTTTGGGTCTGGGCTCAGGGCTAAATCATTTCTTTCACTGGCTTGGGTCTCCAAACTAGGGTGTGTTTCTTTTACCGGCTCTGCTTCCAGAGCCAGGGTGGGTTTCTTAGGCTCGCTCTTTTACTCTACAGATTTAAGTTACTTTGACAGAGAACCAGTGGAGAGAGAGTTTGGTCAAGGACAGCATATTTCAAAAAGGGCATATATCAGTTTAGAATCCAAAAGGATACAGTTCGTCTTGATGGGGAAGGAATGGTGGCAGAAGCGAAAGGCTGTTGGTCACATTGTATCCCATGTCAGAAATCAGAGGGTGAATAGGAAGTAGGATCTGTCTGTTAAACCTCAAGGCCCGCCCCTCTGTGACTCACTTCCTTCCCACCCACCCCAAGAAGCGCCATCATCTGGAGACCAAGTATTAAAAGCACTTAAGTCTGTGGGAGAAATTTCACTTTCAAAGCACTATGGGGAGCTTCAAATTTTGTGTGGGCTGCGTGCATAGCTGCTTCAGGAGCACGCAGCCTGTGGGCATGGACACTGAAGTTTTAATCCACATCTCTTGTGAGCCTGTCCTGAACTTCAAGGCCATCTTCCTGCAGCTGCGTAGATACTGGCACTTGCTACCTCTCGGGCACTGGGGATTTTAAGGTCTAAAATGAGATTTCATTCTTTCCCTATTATTTGATTTAAATTTTCCTTCCTGTAATGTTCCTTAGCTAGACACCCAGGAGAGTCCAATCTATGGCCCTCCTCTCCTCTCCTTTCTTCTGCTCTCCCCTCTTCTTCTCCTTTCCTCCCCGCTCCTCTCCCTCAGACTCCTTGTATGTATTCCTGGTTATTTCCTTCCTCTCCAACAGCTCCGTATTTCTTTTTATCTGACTTGATACCACAGACACTCCTCCACAGCAAGAGGCTTAAATTATCCCTGGAGAGACCTACCATTCTAGGGAGAGGAAATTTGCTTGCTCTCGCCATCCATCTTGACCTCAGCAAAGCTTCCGTAGCCACCAGGATCCATCCACCAAACCCAGGGGATTGGGGGGACCTGGAAGGAGAAGGGGTGAATAGAAAATAAAAGAAAGGAGTTCCTGACTTAAAGTCCCAGCAGAAAATACCAACACGAGTCCAAGAGGCTGGAGAGATAAAAGGAACCTATGTCCCCTGGGTAAGAGGGTACCAGGAACCAGGGCACTGAAGAACACATTGAGGCTGTGAATGTCCTTCATCGTAGGGTCCTAAACGGAGGCTGGTTAGGCTGAATGATCGTGATTGGATTATGGTAGGCACTGAGTCAGATGTGAGTTCTCAAGGCAAGACACACAGACAATAGCTATATAAGCCATCAATAGATAGGTAATAGATATGTAGATGATAGTTGATAAATAGATGATAGGTAGATAATGTATAGGTAGCGGCAGGTAATGATTAGATGGTAGAAAGATAGACTGTAACCAGTAAGAGGGCTTTTGTTTCAGTAGTAGTTACTATTTATATTCCTTTCTCTACTTTGTGGGGCTGGAGAGGAACACGGGGCCTCTGGTTGTGAAGCAAGTGCTCTACCACGAATCCACATCGCCAAACTGTGAAGCCGCTGTGGAGGAAAGGTATTCTGCCAGCTCTGTGTCGCTGTTTCCACCTGTGTTCTCAAGTGACTGAGGAAGGGCTGCTTTCCAATCAAGCCCCAAATCTCACCTTTCGCAGTACCCTACCCCAAATCTTGGGCCCTCACACTCCCCTAGGCGTCTCAGGGGTTGAGTCATTTTCCAGAGCTAAACCTGCTTCTGTGGGTTTTTCCTTCACTTGACTCTGTCCCATGCCCCTCCTACACACACCCCAGGGCTTTCCCAGTCCCTGTCTCTGGTCCCCTCCATTCTGTTCCTTTTCTATGGGCACACGTTCGGTTGAGCAGCCACCTTTGCCTTTATTCTTGGAAACTGGAATGGAAAAGGAAAGAAAAGCACCAGGAGGTGACAGCCTCATCCTTGGCTGTGCAGGAAGAAGAAAGGCTGACAGGTGTCAATTATTCTCACTCCATAGCAACAGAGAGGCTCTGTCAACAAGCCTGAGCCTGGAAATGGCTGGAGCTTGGCACACAGAGAAGCTCTGGCTTAGGGGGGGTGGCTGCTGGGGTTTTCTGTGTGCACACTTGGACAGTTTAGCGTCCACATTTGAAATTGAGCAGTGAGTTTGGGATCTTTTTTCTGGTTTCTCTTTTCTAGTTTTGCCATTTTCCCTCTGGTATATTGAACCTCTACTGAGCAAAGCCAGGAGTGTCTTCCCTGAGAGGAGGGAGGAAAGGCCCAAACTTATTCCCTTTTGCTGTTTGATTTGGGATCTTTCTATACAGCCCAGATGGGAACCTCTTGCCCCATCCTCATCCATTTATTTATCTATCTATCTATCTATCTATCTATCTATCTATCTATCTATCTATCTATCTATCTATCATCTATCTATCTATCTTCATCTATCTATCTATCTATCTATCTATCTATCTATCTATCTATCTATCTATCTATCTTCATCTATCTATCTATCTATCTATCTATCTATCTATCTATCTAT